ACATCTAGATGTCAGGCTGGGAGATGACCAGCTTAAAACCAGCTTGACCAGCCTAGCCAGGCTGGGAGCCCAGCCAAAACCAGCTATGTCCAGCTTAAACCAGGCTGGTCAAGCTGGTTTTAGCTGGTCATTTTCCAGCCTGACCAGCTAAGACCAGGCTGGAAATGGCTGGAAACCAGCCTGGAAATGGCCAAAACCCCTGTAAAACCAGCCTGGTCGACCAGCTAAAACCAGCCAACCAGCCTAGGCTGGTTTAAGCTGGATTTTTCAGCAGGGCTACATTGAAATCCTTAAAACCCCAACATTTCCAAACGATATGTGGCTAAACTAACAGTGAAAACTGGACTGACCTAGTTTAAATTTACTAGAAAGTAAATGTTATGCTGCTTTGACACAATCTACATTGTAAAAGATGAATTGAAAGTTGCCACCGATAGCCGCATTAGCATTAGCTGCGCTACAGCAACAAACTCTTGTGTTAAAACTTTGAGAAGCTCTCATTTAAATGTTTAACTGTTAGTCATAAAATCGCTATTTTTATGTTATTTGGAAGATTTCCAATACGTGTCCTCTAGGTGGCAGTACTGTAATATGTTATATTCTTTCTGTCAGAGATGCTATTAAGAGCAAACGCTAGTGGACAGCTAACTTCGCTATTTAAGTCGAGTTGTGACAGAATTTAAACTCAGAATTTACAAGTCAACAGCACAGCAACACTTAGGAACGATTTGTCTATTTTCTGCTGCCTTTTGACAGATATCAGATGGAACAGCATGTTGACAATCACTTTATTACTCAGACTTCAGGATATGCGCGCTGGGGAGCTCGAACAGGTGCAGAACCCCCCCGCCCCGCGCAACCCCCATATTCGTTTCATTGCAAAATGATGCACTTTCTATATTTACGCTGTGATATCAGCTCCTTATGCTGATCTTACATGCCTGGGGAGGATGTTTAAAGACCTTCTGGTCACAGACTTAAGCCTGAAACAGATATAATTGCATGGCTTTGAGCTACTTTATCACTGCTTTCAAGTTTTGTTATACATATTTTAAACTAAACAAAAAAATTTTACTAAATGTATTATTTTAAAGAAAGAAAATAAAATTCAACTAAAGGAGAATGCATCTCATCAAGGCAAATGCATATTAGGGAAAATGAAGTGGGAAATTAGTTGACAATAGGGTATAAATTCAAAGTAATTGTATAGGCATATATATTTTTATTCTGATAGTTTGCATAACAATAAAGTATATACTCTGTTAAAATAGTTAGGTTTAAAATACCCCAACATATAACCAAACTATAGGTTATTATAGCACCTTCCCAACTATGGATTATTTTAACGCAAAGCATTGGGTTATATCATTTTACCCAATGCATTGGGTTATTTTGATTAAATGTTATTTTTTTTATTCAGGTATTACTATTGCTACTAGTACTACTATCAGTTTTGTATTTATGACTGTGTATATAAATAACAAAGTATTCAAAGATATTGAAAGAGCTTTTGTCCATTACATTTTAGTTTTAGACACTTTTGTTAAAATAAATTAAAAATCACAAACAATGAGGAAACAGAACAAAGTACAGACAGTTATCAATGAAAACCATGTGTTGATTGAGCAAATTATGGAGCTCTGTGTGCTGTAGAGACTTTCCAGCAGCTGCAGCAGGCTTCACAGATGGTCGTGGATGGTAAAACGTATATAAAATCATGACACGAGAGGTAAATTGATTTAAAAAAACAACAACAACAATATTATAACATTACAGCGTAAATAAACTTTATAACGCAAAACAACATTACATCCGCATATTAATACAGCTGTTTTGTGTCAGTTAAATCAGTTTGTTGCTGAAATTCAAATGTTTAACCCAACTAGTTGAGTTATTAAATAAATAACATTAATAAAGGTTAAAAATAACCCAACAAAGCACCAAATATGTTAAACTCAATCATTGGGGTAAATAAATAACTCAACGATTTTTAGAGTGTAATAGTTATTAGTAGTAATAATTAAATAAAGCATGATTTTATGAGACAATTGTACATGCTTAAGAAAAAAAGAAATGTTTTAGAAAATTCAGGTCACTATATGTATAAAATATAGTGTCATTACTTTGAAACATTTTGAGTTTTGACACATTTTATAACATTTAAGTGTTTTTTTTCTTAAACAACTTGCCTGAAAAAGAATTAACAGTTTAGTTTCTAGTGTCTCTGCAATGAGATTTACGGGGATTTTAATATTGAGTCAAGTAATTAAATTACTTAAGTAACTAAATTACTTTTCAGACAAAGTAAATTAGAAAAAAAGTTATTTAAACAAAATTGTAATTATGTAATTAGATATTATATATTTTAAAGTAACTTACCCAATGTTATATGAGTTTATAGGCTACTAGGTATATTTTCAAAAAAATCATGTAATCAAAATTGCATAAATATGATATCAAAAGATGAGTCAAATCATCCAGGGGGCGCTAGTGAGCATGTTATTATTTCTGTAATAAAATATCACTTATCAAAAACAAACTGAATGTAAAAAGTGGACTTGTTTCTTAACTTTTAAAAATCTTTTTATCAGTTGAGAGGCTGAAAATAAGTGTCGACATATCTAAAGTCTGAGGTAAGAGGTGCTGGATATGGAACACCACCATGTACACCTTTAAAATGTGCGCTATTAAAATAGTGACAATTGACATGGTGCTGTTTTTTGCTTGCTGTCGAATACAGAGGAGCAACTGCGCAGGCAAAGGAGCTGAGAAAAGACGGTCTTAAGAATGGAGGGAACGAGGGAGGAATACGGGAGATGGGGCGGCAAGGTTCAGGAGTATTTTTAGGCCATGTTTATTCACAGACTGAAATGAACCCTCCTTGCACTTCTCTTGCTCTCACACCATCTGTTGAAGTCTTTCAGCTTTGTCAGGTCTAGCCAACAAGTCTTTGTGCGACACCTTTATGGTTCATGCAATGCCTTTTCTATATTATGATTTCTGAAGAAAACTTTTTTTTCTGCTTAACTCAATATTCAAGACATTTCAAAGTAATCATCATACTTGTATGAAAAATACTATAGCAATTAACAGTAAATACTATACATTTTTAAGCGTACTACAGTAAAGAACTTGAATTAATCTGTTGTGGTAATTGTATAGCAACATGGCAATTAGAGTTATATAAAGAAATGGCCCAATACTGTAATTGTTTACAACTATAGGGTATATTGCAATATAATACTCCACAGTTTACTGTTGTAAAAACGAAAGTATACTACAGTATTTTACTATATCAAATACTACAACACTGTACCATTTACAAAGTGTTGTAAATAGTTTAACTACAGTACAATATATAAATAGTATATCTAGTGTATAATATAAATAATATTTGAATACAGTACAATACATCGTACTATGGTATGATTCGAAAACACTATAGTATAAATTACTACATTATTTTTTCAAGTAGGATTGCCTACAAAGGTATACACGTATATGTAAATAAATAAATAAAATCACGTTCCAAGTCAGCAGCTGCCACAAAACATTTTTATTTTTCTTAAACAATAAAAATCCCAATAAACGTTAGCTTATGAATTCAAAGTTTCTATTTCTGTCTCGACAAACGTCTTTGATTTTGACACCACAAATCTGCAGCTTGCAGAGATCAGTCAGTCGTCTTGGCTGACGTCACTCACTTCGGCACGAGTTCCAACTAACGTCACCTGTCATTTCTGTCAGCCGGATGATCTTTAAACACTTCATCTTAGCCTAACCTCTCTGTCCACTTCACACAGCAAAGCCGGTGTTTTTATAATAATAAAAAAAACAGCGGAGATTTATTCATTTAAAGCACAGGTAAGTTTTAAGAGAGATACTTTCCATATACAATGCAAATTACGCGCGCTTTTCTGAGGAGACTTTCAAACTTTTAAAGTTTAACGAACGTCTAACGGACGTCCTTGTTCGTTATTGAGATTAATGACAGGGTTTTATAGGCTCATATATTACACGAAGACGGAATAAAATTAGCCACAAACTCAATGAGGAGGGCGGGGATGTGGTAAGACAACACTGAGGAAAACTGAATGTAACCAACAGCTGCGTGACCTGTAAACTTGCTTGTCAGACCGGATAGTGAAGTCTTTTTCATGTTGTTGCATATATAGGCATTTTCTAATCAGGCAACACACATATTCTTATGGTAAAAGAAAAACATGAATGTTAATAGCCTGTATGCTAATGTAGTGGGTGTAGCATTTAGCTAAAAGCTACTTTTATCTTATGATAATAAAAGTGTGATATGATAACAAGTGGTGCATGCAGAACTGTTGCAAACTATTTATTTGTGTCGAATTTAAACAAACAAATTATGTTTAATAATGTTCAACTTAATTCGTTTGTTTAAATTCAACACAAATAAATTGTTTACAACCACTTAACTTAAAAAAATTGAGTAAATCCAAGGAATCATCTTTGAATATTTTTTTTCAGTGTAGTAAATCAGTCCCTCCATGAATTTATGTGTCCCGTGGTTAAGATTTACAGAAACAAAAGTTTTTTTTTGACTATTTTCATCAAAACACAACAATCAAATTAAATTATGCAGTAAGTTTTGAGAAACCCATCACAAAATCAGTCATTTTAGGTAATATATATTAGTATATATTTATATTAACATTAACACTTATTAATATATTAGGTAATAACATATATACATTTAAAGAATATATATATATATACAACAAAAACTTGCTGTCCCTGCAAAATCCAGGCGGGACTGGTAAATATATGCAGCATGGTTTCAATATATGTTAAAATAATTGTTCAATTTACACAAAAACATAGTGAAAAAGGTCATATAAAATGAACAATACCTTTTAGAAATAATAACCTTATAGAATTAATCACTGTTGATTGGAAAAGGTAAATATACATGCACATCATCATAACATGTAACCCCTTAAAGATATTCAATACATTGATAAACATACCTTCCTCTGCTGTTTCTCCCAGGCAGGGTCCAGCAGCAGGTCCCTGTCCCAATCATCCTCCTGAATCATGTAGTCTTGCGTAGTAGACATCATGTAGGTGTTGTTATACTGCATCTGCGTCTCAACAACAGCCGTCATCTTTTCACACCTATCCCTCTAACCCTTATTATTAGAAGTAATGTGCGCTTTAGAGCTCTAAATCCTGTTGACCGCGGAGGAAGAGGCCAGACTCCACTCGTCTGAGGTGCCGGTGTGGAGGTGCGAGCAGAACTTCTGCTGCCCAGTGCTCCTATCCTGGTCAAAAGTAGCACACGTGACTGCACCCCAATAAATAAGAGTACTAGTCATGGGGGTGTCGGGTTGTGCTGCCCAAAAGGTGTGAGAGGCGGGACACACTGTGCACTGGGACCAATTACTGGAGGCTTTTAGTGAAGGGCAGGGAAAGACCTCACACACACGCCTACTGGTGCCCTCCGCTTTATAAGAACACCTGTTGTCCTTGGCAGTAGTTTATGTCTATTTACCCAAGCAGCAGTTCGTGGGACAGTTTAAACGACATACAAATTACTGCTCTGGACTGAAAATAGATGCACGAGCAGATCCCAGGCCTGTTAACCATCTCCCCCTTAATTAATAATAGATTGTTATACAATTATTGCTTACTACACACAATTTTGCTTCGTTACATTTAGGACACATGACTATGTTGTACTTCAAAACTAAAAAGTTTTTTAAATTGTCAAAAGCTGTTTACAGATAATAATTGATCCCTCAAAATGATTATTGCACAAAGGTTTGTTAAAATCAGTTTTGGGTGTAATTAGTCACTAATTCAATTACTTATCCAAAAAAGACAGGAAAGGGATCTTTAATTTGTAATTTAATTACAGTTAATTACAATGTACTTGCTTTAAATATGGTAAATAAATAAAACACGTCTGTATAAATCTGTTCAGAAAAGCAGTGATTGTTTTTTTTTTTGTTTTTTTAAATACAAAAATATTTCTAGAATATTTACTTTTGAACTAATAAAAGGTACATTTTGCAATTGCACATGCTTGAAAAGGATTTCAGTGTGCAGTAAGTTCATGACAATATAAATACAGAGCAATATAGTAAATTAAATTCAATTGTAATTGTTTTATTCAGATATTTTGCATAACAATTTAGCCAAATATTAGATTTGTCTGACAATTATAAAACAATGTATTAAAGGGTCACGAAACACCAAAACACATTTTTTGAGCTGTTTACAGTCGTATATTTGTCCCGCACTGCTAAAAACACTATTAGGACACCTATATTTCACTAAAAAGTGTAAATTGGTTGTTTTTGCGTTATTTCAAGCTAATTCGTACTTCCAGTTTGAAACGAATTTTTGAAGCTGCGTCACGGCCATGACATAATAACGTTGTATTCCAGCGTGCAGACTGGACGTCTGTGCCAGAGTGTGTCTTATTACGTCTTACAGTGTGATGCATTAATGCATGAGTAAGGCTTGGTTCAAACCAATCAGCGCGCTCTATTGTGCAACTTCATTAATATTCATTACCGTCACAGTGTTTAGACGACAGAGACACCACGTTGTGTTGGCAAAACAAGCGTGAAGTGTTGCTTTTATAGTTTGCTGCAGTTAAGTTTTGTTTTAATTTTCTCTCTGTGAGAGCTCATCTGGATCACGTGTGTATTAACAGTGTACGCGACACTCGACAACAATAACTTACGTGTCTAAGGAGGATTATTGTTTACCTGAGAGCTGTTCTCATCTGCAAACGCTGAGATCTGGAATCGCTTGTAGTCTTCTCTTAATAAAGACGCGGCTCTAGTTGCTGGTGATTGTCCTGTCTCTACAGATTTGGTAAGTGAGCGACCAGTGCTCTTTGTTTATTCAGTTTGTTCGTATCGAACTAAGTTAACTATTGCACCGTAACATGTTAGGGCCACAACCAAACTTTAACCTCGTGTAGAGTTTTTAACCGCATTTTGTGACCGGAATAACACACGCGGCTTTCTGACGCTACCTGCCGTGTGCATCTAAGTTTCCGGAAAATGCGGAGGTTTTTTTTCTCATTCGCCGTGCGGTATCAAACATTGCATGAAAAATACACACTTAGAGCAGTTCCTCGAATCAAATATCTCGTTTGTCGCGAGGGACATGAATGAATTCCCTGAATGAAAGAGCCAAACTGCAGTTAAAGTCCACCATTTAATAATTTGGCAAATAATTCGACTACAGATGTCCATGTAAACACAGTCACTTTGTCCCCTGTTGGGTGTGTGTTTTGACTCTGAAATTCAGCTTGCCAAATAGACACTCCCACACCAAGCCTCTTTTGTTTCTCCAACACTCCCCCCTAAACAAAGCTGGACACGCCCACTTTTCTGACTTTTTCCAAAGTAGAGGTGTGAAAACACCCAGCTGAAAAGAGGGGGTTTCATGGCCCTTTAAGAATTGTAGGACAATATGTATGGCATGTATGAAATGTGTCATTACTGTTGAAACCTTGGTTTGATATATTTAACATCAATATTTAATTTCAATATCGCATAAAAGATTCGCGAATAAAGCAGCGTTTCCATCCAATGAGTCAAAACTTCAATCACCGTCTGGTTCGGCTCAGCTGCCAAAACCAACCACCGTAGATCACAGCGAATAGTCCAGACTGATGATCGAATCACTGGCACCACCCTTCCTGCACTTCAAGAACTGTACTCTTCCAGAGTGAGTAAAAGGGCTCGCAAAATCCCTCTGGACGAATCGCACCCAGCACACTACCTGTTCGAACTGTTACTGTCTGGTCGGCGCTTCAGAGCACCAAGCACAAAAATATTCCCCTACTGTGCAATAAATATGTGCAATACTTTCTCATACGCACTGTTACACAGCACCTTGTATCAATATACAATGCAATACTTTCTACATTCGCATTTGTACACAGCACCGTATAACCTGTATATTTATAACAAATCTGGACTAACTGCATCTCTGTTTAATGTTTATCGTCTTTTTTTCTCATATTTGTTTTGTGTTATCACTTTGAGTACACTGGAAGCTTCTGTAGCCAAAACAAATTCCTTGTGTGTGTGTGTGTGTGAAGCACAATTGGCAATAAAACTTATTCTGAAAGTGAAAATCATCACTTTCTTATTAACTGCCGTCAAATGTAAAAAGCAACAATTTTATTCAATTTTGAACTTACTTAATAAATGACCTGCACCTCGGAAGACAATGCCAACAGGCAATGAAAGCGTGGCGGTGTTTGAAGGCATGAGATGAAGATGCTCTTGACAATTCTGGAGGTCATTAATATAACACTAATACAACATTTCGGATGTTTTACAATGTTGTCAGCCTGCTGGTTTGTCCATTCCTACACATTTTTATCATCACTTTCTTTAATGCACATACTGGAATTTGTTTGGTAAAAGCATTTCCATCGTAGTTTATGCGAATTTATTTGTGCATAAAATCAAATAATAAAAAAAAATCTAATATAAAGTTTATCCTACTCAGTTATGCTCATGTTTTTTATGCACATTTTCAAAATGTTTTGCCATTTCCATTAACTTTTTTATGCGCATATCCAAAATGGTGGATTGATGGATGGAAACAGCTACTGTTATGTAAATGCACCTTTAGATTAGCACAGTTATAAGGTCTGCAACTGCCAAATTACACTGCTACTGCTATATAAAAATGTCTCATGAAATAATAATAATTACACAAAACAACTTTTATAAGCAGCCATTAACTTACTAAAACTTTGGTTCAAACTATGGCTGAATTACAAATTGCATACTTTCATATTAAATAGTACGCTTAAAACTACTTCTGGTGAGATTCTGAAGTGTGCATGCGATGCACGCTACGCTATCCCATGATGCCCCACGAGAGAATTCATGAATGGGAGTGAAGCGACGCAACTGACGCAGATAGGTCATGTGATCATGACAAATGGCAAATTTAGGACGTCAGAGTTCCATTTATACTACGCACACTTATAATGTATAGAACAGGGGTTCTCAACTGGTTTGGCTCAACTGGTAGGACCCACATTTTTACATATTCATCAGGTCGCGACCCAAATTTTTAGGAACTATAATACAATTTTAGGAATTATAATTAATTTGTATTTATATGTTAACACACACAAGTACTGACAGATAAATCATAAGAAATTCACAGACTTACAAAGAAACAATATTTTATTGCTGTCATTAACCAAAATGGATCAAATTATGAAAATATTACAAACGAAAAACGACAAATACTGTTAACAGTGGTTAGGGTAAGGAAAGATTCAGTTACCATGAAATAAACTGAACTGTTAATAAAACATGTTGTCTGGTTTCTAAATGTCGTTTTAATTTAGAAGGTTTCATGTTGTCTTGTGAGAGCACCTCACTACATATGACACACTGAGACTAAGTCTTTTTTTGTCATCAAAATATGTACGTCCATACTTTACATATTCGGGGTTGCACTTGCGCTTCGACATATTTGTTGCTTAAGTTAAATGAAATTTCACATGTCAAACGGTAAGGTTGTCGCGCACGCATTTCAAAATAAAAGTCTAGTATAAGCAAAATAGATTAAACTTTTGTTGTTTTTTAGACCACACACTCCGCGACCCAATAAAAATGTTCCCACGACCCACTTTTGGGTCGCGACCCACCAGTTAAGAAACACTGGTATAGAACATATAGTAAATTTAGGGTGCTTTCACACCTGTGAATCGATTCAGTTGTTCCAAAACAGAGATTACAAATGTTACATTGTTGCTCTTTGCTCTTGGTGTGGTTCGCTTTCACACTGTAAAGTTTCTAGTCGGACCAAAAGAGCTAAAGCAAGTCACGTGTGAGTAAACTCTCCTCACATTGGTCAGAAAGTCAGGGTTTATTTTGCAGAGTCTCGCTCAGCTGTCAGGGGGGGTGGTGGTTTGTTGGTGTTTGACAAGGTGCGCGCGACGTCTGAAGAGTGAGGAGAGATGCGGTGGGGAGGGGTGAAAAGGGTTGCGCGACGTATTTGAGGACCGGGAGGGAGGCACGAGATCACTCATTTGCGGGCATCAAGGAGACTCCCAAAACTTCCCACCCTACTCATAATTCTCTCTTCATATAGCCGTATGTCTATTATATATCCATAATACACTGTGATATAACCGGGCTCAAATTGTATCGCTTTCTCGCTACAATCGATCTGCTCCAGAGTTCATTTCAATCGAGCCAAGACCACCTCATTCAAGCGATCTTTGAGCGATTAATTTGGTGCGGATCCTAGCGCGATTGCTGGTTTCACATATGCCAAACG